ACGGTCACTTTGAGTTGGAAGCCACTCAATGCCGCCTAACAACAACAACCCAGTCTGTATGCCACAGGAGATGCTACCAACATTTAGAGCATGCAGACGTCACCGTCTGCAGAATTTATCAGGAGAAAGTACACTAGTATGAAAACGGGTATGTAACAGACCGGAACATGAGAAACACCAACCTAATTCCTATCCTTACCATCAGTGTATGAAAGTACTTAGCTTATTGCATTGTGTGTCATTAAACGTTGGACAACACTGATGGCCAAGACTGAATAGTTCAAGCTTGACATTTCAATTACTAGAGTGAAATTCATTTTTTAAAATTATCTCTATGCATGCTGATCATTTGAAGGACATTCTTATACACTGTTTATGTCCTTTTGCTCATTTCTGCTCCTGAACTATTTCTTTATGTTTTCCTTCATGACTTATAAATTCTCTGCTATATTGCTTGTAGATATTTTCGCTCAATTCTGGGTTTTCTTTAATCACCTTTTAAAGGTAGTATTTGTTTTGCTCTCATAATAGAAGAATAAAAAGGGGTTTATAAAATAATATTTTGATATTTGAATGAGTCAGATTTTTTTTTTGCCAAAAACGTTTAGGTATATTTTTCTAATTAGACTTTCAAAATAGATTTAGGAGAACTTGGGCATAGTATGAAAGAGGAGAAGATATAAACGTTTATTTATTCAATCAGGCCTTTCTTCTATTTATCAACAAGTTTTCAGCATTTCCTTCACATAGGCTTCCCAAGTCCTACTTATATGAGCTACTCCCTATCGTCCCTATTGTTGCTATTTTGAAATTATAATTTCATTTTCTATGTGATGTAGCACTGATACAGAAGACTGATGAACATACAATTTAATTTTCTAACCTTTTTTTTTTTCTGAAGCTTATTCGAAATTCTAAAATATTTCAATGAAATCATAACCTGCTGCAAAAAAATATCTTCCATGTGTTAAAAAACAAAGATGCCACTTTGAAGACTAGGGTGAAACCATGCCACAGCATTTCAATGGTCTCACTGGCACGTGAAGGCTGAGCAGCGAACGCGGCAGACTGAAGAAGCCCCGATGCCTTTGAATCGTGGTGTGATTGAAGAGCGTGTGCTTCCGGCAGACTGCTAGGAAAACACAAGTTCCTGCCTGGGCTGGAACACAGCCGCCAGTGAGGATGTCACGACTGGGTCTCACGTGCTGCGGCACTTTATCAAGAGACCAATCCTTGGAGAATAGCATGTTTGTTAGGTGATCAGCAAAAAGAAGACTTTCAACAAACTGGATCAACACAGGGGCTCAAATATAGGAACAATTGTGTCATTGATGTTTCCTTCTGTTGCTTTGAGTTACCCCCTCCATGCACACATACATATAATTGTATGTGGGTGTGGTGTGTGCATACACACACACATACATATGCACATATAAAATCCTCTGAGGAAGACAGTAATTGTAGTCTCTTTCATGAATTACAGTTTGTCTCATTTTGCTGCCCCAAATTCCTAGGGACAATGCTGAGTAACAGTGTTGACAGTATCTTTCCTTTTGTTCCATTTGTAATGAAAATTGGCTTCTGTCATTTTACCTCTAAGTATAATGTTAGCTGTTTAGCGCATGTAAATATCATTTATTATGTTTTATTTTGATATAGGTCTCCTACTTATCTGATGAATATGCAAATCATGGAAGCCTTTGAGTATGTTTTTAACTTCATGTACAATAAGTGACATACACTCTTAGGTAAAAGAAAGAAACTTACAGAATCTCGTCTTGGCAGCCTGGTGGCTCAGGCGCTAGGAGGCTAACTCAAAGCGCAGGAGTTCCAACCCAGTTCCAACCCAGTCACTCCGCAGGAGAAGGATGAGGGTTTTTCCTCCTGTAAAGATTTAGTCTTGGAAACCCACAGGAGCAGTTCTACTCTGTCCTGAATTTCACGAGGAATCAGAACCGACTCAACGGCAGAGTTTGGTGGTGGTGTTTGTTGAATGAAATGATTTAATAATGAAGAATAACGGGGTTGTCTCTTTTCTGACATCAGTTACAGTAGGATGAAATTCAATACACATTTACGATGTTTACTAGTTACTGATTGCTCGAAAACTTATTTTGCCACTTAAACTGAGGTTTTGATGTTATTCTTGCTAACAGAGGAAATGGACAAGGGTGAGAAATCTAAAAATGTAGGACGG